CAGAATAAGATGAGAAAACCTCAGACAACAAATTAAAGAGTTGACAGGAAAATCAAACCAAGCAACAAACAATTTGCAATGAAATGGTAATCGGCCAACTAACTTCATCAACTCTTTAGTTGGGTGAATTACATTGCTTCCCTCCCGATATAAAATAAGTGGCCACTCCTGTCTCACCTAGGCATGGGGATGGGCCGGGCCAGCTTAGGCCCGTGAACCAGTCTGCTGGGTTTATGGACGGGCCAGGTCTACTAAGGCCTGCACGAGTCAGAGTGGGCCAGGCTCGTCTCTATTATCCCGAGTATGGGACCAGACTAGACCCAGCTCGGCTGATGTAAAACGTTTAACAAATAATTTCATGGAGGAGCAGGACAATCACGAGCTAAATGCGAATACATACATATTATTGACTTTTGCAAAGAAATGATCATATCTTCCAAACTAAAAGACGGATTCTAACATACTATATATGTAAATCGCCTATCTCGATGAGACGGAATCATCAAATTTATCAGATTTCCCAAATCTCATCAGTAATACTCAGTTTTGGCTGAAATTCGAAAATAATCAGCTTTGAGTTTCTTTTTTTTAGCAATAAAGTTAGAGCCAATATAGATTAGAATTCAAAATCATTTCATTTGGACTGATTTGTTTCCTTTATTTATAAAGAGTCTTTTAGGTAGTTTTTAATTATTTTCTTTTAGAAATTCAATTCTTATTAGAAGTGGGCTTCATTTTTCTATTTAAGAAGAATGATGGTGAACATCATGGGATCATATCACTTTATTTCTCGGAACAGTTTTCTTCTTCCATTCCTTCAAAGGAGGTTTTGGATGAGGTGGGTAGCGCTATCTCTTCACAGCTTTCAGTGGATAACCTTCGGATCATTTCTGAGCCTTTTACAGGTGATAGGTATGGGGTGCTCTTTGATCTATGGGTCCTTCAAAGGCACCCGGCCCATATGGCTTTCATGCATCATTTTTTCAGTCCTAGTGGTTTGTTATTAGCCCAGATATTTCAGCTGCATGTTTGGAGATTCTTAATGGGGGCTCATCTATCAGGTCTTGGAATAAGACCAATGTGGTTCTCATCCCCAAAAAGGATTTACCTGAGACTGTGACAGATTCTAGACCCATCGGCCTATGTAATGTAGTCTACAAGATTGTCATGAAGACCATTGCTAATAGGCTGAAGCGGGTTCCTGGCGGATTGATCGGATGCTTTCAAAGTGCTTTTGTCCTAGGGAGATCTATTCAGGACAATATCATTGTTGCTTTTGAACTTCTCCACACATTGCAGAAGAGGAGACGGAGTCAATCTGGCCATATGGCACTGAAGTTGGATATGAGTAAGGCATATGACAGAGTGAAATGTGGATTTATTGACAGGGCCCTTCAGGTCATGGGCTTTCCAGATCATTGGAGGCATCTCCTCTTGGACTGTATCTCCACTTCCTCACTCTCTTTCTGTCTCAATGGGCAGATTGTGGATCAGGTCATTCTCACTCATGGTCTGCGATAGGGATGCCCACTATCTCCATATTTGTTTCTTCTCTGTACGGAAGCTCTCTCAGCACTGATCATTAGACAGGAGGAGAACAGGTGCATTATAAGGTTATCTTGTTCTCGGTCGGGGCTAAAGATTTCTCACTTGTTCTTTGCAGATGACTCTTTGGTTTTTCTTCAGGCTTCCCAGGCCGCTGCACAAGCTGTCCAGAGTACTCTTCTACTACATGAGGCTACAACCTGTCAGAAAATTAACTTTCAAAAGTTTGACATTACCTTTAGCCCCTGTGTAGATGAGGATACTAGGGCCTCTATTTTCTGTCTTGGGGCATGATAGGGCCCAGTCACATGATCGGTACCTAGGTCTCCCTTTGGTGGTCGGAATAATTCGTTGTTAGACTTTTGCTTCAATCAGAGACTCGGTTTGTAAAATAGTCCAAGCTTGGAGGATGACTCTTTTCTCAGCTGGGGGGGCTGATACGAGTCGCCGTGCGAGCACCCTTTGGTCACGGAATTACCAAAAGGTGGGTTGAGAAGAAGACAACTAAAATACAAGAACAATTCAGTATGGCGAAGGAAAATACCTTCTCTAGATTATGAAGAATCGATTATTACAAATCTCTCCCTCACAATCTCACTAGAATCGAGAACAAGCTCTCAATCCTCTCTAAACCCTAATACAAAGATTAGAATTTCTCTCTCTGATCTAAGATCTCTAAGATGATCTAAGATGATCTAAGAAGGTGTTTAGAACCCTAAACAACCCTTTATATAGGTGTACAAACGTGGATGGCAATCTGGTAAATAACCAAGCCCAAAACCAACAGGAATTCGTGTGAACAGAAATCCAAAGAACCAGGAAACCATCGATGAGTCGACTCATAACCTCATATGAGTCGACTCATAACTGATGAGTCGACTGGTCAGAGACTTTTGCTAACAGGGCTTGATTTCGTGAGTGGACTGACAGGCATGAGTCGACTCAACCTGATAAGTTGACTCATGTACATGTATGAGTTGACTCACGAGTTGAAAACTGGATTCTTCGAATCTGCTGCTCGTCGTCTCGTTTCACGCTTCCACCTGCGTTCCACTGTACTGTTTTACACCTCTATTCTCATACTATCATGAGAATCATTTATCATCAAGCTCCCATGAGGATCGCTAAGTTTCGAAGAGAAGATACACATGTATTATGGGTCCCCTCTTTAGGAACTTAAAGTCCCG